TGGGATTACAAGCTGATACTTTTGATGTCATAAGTAACCATTGCCTAACCCAAGGTCACAAAGATTTACACCTATGTTTTCTTTTAAGAGTTTTATAGCTTTATTGCTTTCATTTAAGCCTTTAATCCATTTTGAGTTAATTTTTTATATATGGTGTGAGGTAGGGATCTAACTTTCTTCTTTTGCACATGGATATCTAGCTATCTCAACACCATATGTTGAAAACACTCTTCTTTGCACATTTAATTATCTTAGCAAGTTTGTAAAAAATCAGTTGACTGTAAATTTGAGGATTTAGTTCTGGAGTCTCAATTCTATTCCATTGATCTATATGTCTGTCCTTATGACAGTTATTGCACTGTTTTGATTGCTATACTTTTGTAGTAAGTTTTGAAATCAAGAAGTATGAGTCCTCCAATCTTGTCCTTATTTTTCAAAATTGTTTACACTATTTGAGGTCCTTTCCATTTCCATACAAATTTTTGGATCAGTTTGTCAATTTCTACAAAGATACTAACTGGGATTTTGATAGAGATTGTTTTGAAGCAATGGATAAGTTTTGAGAATATAACCATCTGTATTAGTTTGCAAGGGCAGCCATAACGAAGTACCACAAACTGGTTGACTTAAACAACAAAATATTATACTTTTAAAGTTCTGGAGCCTAGAAGTGCCAGGTCAAGGTGTTGGTACAATTGAGCAACGTGAGGGAGAATCTGTTCCATGCCATTCTTTTTTATCTTCCGATGTTTTGCTAGCAATATTTGTTGTACTTTGGTTTTAGATGCATCAACCCAATCTTTGCCTTCACCTTTACATGGTGTTCTCCCTGTGTGCATGTCTGTCTGTGTGTCTGTTTCCCCTTTCACCAGTTATACTGGATTAGAGCCCACTCTAATAACCTCATCTTCACTTGATCAGCTGCAAAAATCCTCTATCCAATAAGATCACCTTCACAGGTACAAGGGGTTAAGACTTCAAATCTTTTTGGGGAGCATAGTTCAATCCATGGTAGCATCTTAACAATATTAAGTCTTCCAATCCATGAACATGAGATGTCTTTTTATTTATTTAGGTATTCTTTAATTTCAATCAACAATGTTTTGTAGCTTTCAGAGTATACATTTTGCACTTCTTTTGTTAAGTATTTTCTTAGTGTTATATTGTTTTCAATGCTATTGTTTTAAATTGAAGTTTTTAAAATTTGTTCTTTTACTCATTACTGCTGTATCAAAATACAATTAATTTTTGTATATTGATCTTTTATCCTGCAACCTTGCTGAGCTCATTTATTAGTTCTAATAGTTTTCTACTGCATTCCTTAGGTTTTTCTATCTGCAAGTACAGATCATTTACTTCTATTATGATGTGGATGCCTTTATTTCCTTTTCTTTCCTATTAATTTTCTTTTGTCTTGATATCTGTATCAATTATTTTTCTTCATATAGTACACGTTTATATAAGCAATCCCAAATTATTTTTGGAACAATGTAGGATCTAAATTAACACATTTATAAAATAAAACTTATGCTCTATTAATATAGTCTTTTATTCTTTCAACTAACTCAGAGGTATTGAATCTTGACAATAATTTTTTTCTGTGAAGAAATTTTAGGGAAAAAAATTCCTGATGTTCTAGCAACTTAATTATCTACAAAAAAGTGTTGATAGCAATAATTATTCTCCAAAATGCTGCTTTAGAAGAAGATAATATATAAGTAGATTTCACCCTGGAAAAAAGCACTAAAAATTTAAATGTATATATTATAGTAGCATCAGGTTATCATATTATCATTAAGAAAGCTACTGAAACTCCAAGTCCATGAAGCATTCTGTGGCACATGGTGAGTGTAAGTTTATTGTTTAACTTTAATCTTTGCCTTTCCCCAAAAACAGAACCGTGTCTTACTTTATCCCTAGTGCTGGTACTATGCCTGGCATATAATGGGTATTTATATTTGTTTATTAAATGTTGATCAATTTAAACTCAGATGAGCCAATTTTGCTATCTCTTGCTTGATAATTATATTTTAACATATTTTTAATCTGAAATTATTTTAACACTGACAACATATTAATATTTCTACATCAATTCTAATGGTGGCTAAATTGACAATACCACAGTGTTTGTGGCACTTCTGGGCTGTGGGACTAATAGATAAAACAATCAATTCTCCCCTGCTGCTTGTCAGCACTGCAGTGCCTACTCTGGTTCTTCTCAAAGGCTACTCTGGCCTCTCCAACATGGGAATGGCATTGCATGAATTGAACTGGGGACTTTCTGTCTTGCCCAAAAGAGAGGCAGAAGGCCCAGTACCTGGGACCCTCATGCAAGGAGTGGACTGCCCTCTACATTTCTATGTCACCAAGCCTCATCATTGCTCAGCATGAGGCCTCTCATTATTTATTGCCTTTTCTTCCCATTCTGACTCTCTATTGCTTGACAACAAAGTACCCTGATGTGGTTTGTCTTTGTCCCTACCCAAATCTAATCTTTAATTGCAACTCCTACAATTCCCACCTGTCATTGGGGGGTGACCCATTGGGAGGTAATTGAATCATGGTTCAATTTCGTGTGCTTTCTTGTGCTGTTCTCATGATAGTGAATAAGTCTCATAATGTCTGATGGTTTTATGAAGAGAAGTTCCCCTGCACAAGCTCTCTCTTTGCTGCCGTCATCCATGTAAAATATGACTTACTCTTCCTTGCCTTCCACCATGATCATTAGGCATCTCCAGCCATGTGGAACTGCAAGTCCATTAAACCTCTTTCTTTTGTAAATTGCCCAATCTCAGGTATTCTTTATCAGCAGTGTGAAAATGGACTAATACAGTAAATTGGTACAAGTAGAGTGGGGTGCTGCTGAAAAGATACCTGAAAATGTGGAAGCAACTTTGGAACTGGGTAACAGGCAGAGGTTGGAACAGTTTGGAGGACTCAGAAAAAGAAAGGAAAATGTGGGAAAGTTTGGAACTTCCTAGAGACTTGTTGCATGGCTTTGACGAAAATGCCGATAATGATATGAACAATGAAATTCAGGCTGATGTGGTCTCAGATGGAGATGAGGAACTTGTTGGGAACTGGAGCGAAGGTAATTCTTGTTATGTTTTAGCAAAGAGACTGGCATCATTTTGCCCCTGCCCTAGATAGATCTGTGGAACTTTGGACTCAAGAGAGATGATTTAGGGTATCTGGCAGAAGAAATTTCTAAGCAGCATAGCATTCAAGAGGTGACTTGGGTGCTGCTAAAGGCATTCAGTTTTAAAAGCGAAACAGAGCATAAAAGTTTGGAAAATTTGCAGCCTGACAATGTAGGGCCATGGATGAACCTGGAAACCATCATTCTCAGCAGACTGACACAAGAACAGAAAATTAAACACCACATGTTCTCACTCATACACAGGTGTTGAACAATGAGAACACATAGACATAGGGAGAGGAGCATCACACACTGGGGTCTGTGTGGGGGATCTAGGGGAGGGACCATAGGGGGTGGGGAGTTGGGGAGGGATAACATGGGGAGAAATGCCAGATATAGGTGATGGGTAGGAAGGCAGCAAACCACATTGCCATATATATACCTATACAACAATCTTACATGTTCTTCACATGCACCCCAAAACCTAAAATGCAATAAAATATATATTAAAAAAAAAGAAAAAAAATTCCATTTTCTGAGGAGAAATTTAAGCTGGCTGCAGAAATTTGCATAAGTAACAAACTGGGAGCTGAACATTAATTATCAAGGCAATGGGGAAAATGTCTCCAGGGTGTGTCAGAGACCTTTGTGGCAGCCCCTCCCATCACAGGCCCAGAGGTTTAGGAGGAAAAAATGATTTCTTGGGCCAGGCCTGGGGTCCCTCTGCTGTGTGCAGTTTAGGGACTTGGTGCCCTGTGTCCCAGCTGCTCCAGCTGTAACTAAAAAGACCAAGGTATAGCTCAGGCTATTTCTTCAGAGGGTGGAAGACCCAAGCCTTGGCAGCTTCCATGTGGTATTGAGCCTGCAGGTGCACACAAGTCAAGAACTAAGGTTTGGGAACCTCTGCCTAGGTTTCAGGGGATGCATGGAAATGCCTGGATGTCCAGGTAGAAGTTTGCTGAAGGGATGGGACTCTCATGGAGAACCTCTGCTAGGGCAGTGCAGAAGGGAAATGTGGGATCAGAGCCCCCACATAGAGTCCCTACTGGGGCTCTACATAGTGGATCTGTGAGAAGAGAGCCACTGTCCTCCAGACCCCAGAATGGTAGATCTACTGACCTGGAAGATTACACCATATGTCTGGAAATGCTGCAGGCACTCAACGCCAGCCCATGAAAGCAGCCAGGAAGGAGGCTGTATCCTGCAAAGCTACAGGAGAGATGCCCAAGACCATGGGAACCCACCTCTTTTGCATCAGCATGACCTGGATGTGAGACATGGAGTCAAAGGAGATCATTTTGGAGCTTTAAGATTTGACTGCCCCACTGGATTTAGGACTTCCATGGAGCCTGTAGCCCCTTTGTTTGGGCCAATTTCTCCCATTTGGAATGGCTGTTTTTACCCATTGCCTGTACCCCCATTATATCTAGGAAGTAACTAATTTGCTTTTGATTTCACAGGCTCATAGGTGGCAGAGACTTGCCTTTTCTCGGATGAGACTTTGGACTGTGGACTTTTGAGTTAATTCTAAAATGAATTAAGACTTTGGGAAGGCATGATTGCCTTTGAAATGTGAAGACATGAGATTTAGGAGGGACCAGGAGTGGAATTATATGGTTTGGATGTGTCCCCACCCAAATCTCATCCTGAATTGCAACTCCCACAATTCTCACATGTCATAGGAGGGACCCAGTGGGAGGTGATTGAATCATGGGAGTGGGTCTTGTGCTGTTCTCATGATAGTGAATAAGTCTCATGAGATCTGATGGTTTTATAAAGAGGAGTTCCCCTGCACAAGCTCTCTCTCTTTGCTGCCATCCATGTAAGATGTGACTTGCTCCTCCTCACCTTCTGCCATGATTGTGAGGCCTCCCCAGCCATTTGGAGCTATAAGTCTATTAAACCTTTTTTTCTTGCCAGTCTAGGTATGTTTTTATCAGCAGCATGAAAACAGACCAATATATATCCCCAAAGTTAGATACTTTATCATATTACAATTGTGTGGATTTGGGATTTGCAGGACTCAGCTGTTTGATTCTCTTGATGAATGTAGCTCCAACTGAGGTCACTCCATGATAATCAGCTTGTAGGTGTGCTGGGCTGGCCTAGAGAGCCCAGGATGGCTTCATTTACATGTCTGGTGGCATTGGCTGGTGGGGGCTGCCTGCAAGGCTGGGCTCAGTTGGGACCACTATCCAGAGTACCTGAACATGGCTTCTCCAACCTAGACTTATTGGTGCAGTTGATTCATTACATGGCAGCTCCAAGCTCCGAGAGAGAGTGTTGTAAGAGAGGCGAGGTTGGCTGACACCCTCCTAAGGCCCAGACCCAGAAACTGACAAGCACTACTTCTGCAGTATTCTAGTGGTCAAGCAATCATAAGCCTGCCCAGAGCACCCCACCTCACCTCTCCATGTAGGGAGTGTCAAAGAATTTGGGACCATCTTCAATCTACCACAATCCCCATTCTTCACTTGCAGTCCCTTCCCACACAGGCAGTCTTTCTGTGCATCTTATGTGCATCCTTGAATTTAAACATAGTCTCTAACGTAAGTTATGTAAATCTGTGTGGACATCTCCCTTGCTTCTGACTGATAGATGCTTCTCCAAGGCGTGCACCCACCACGTTTACTTCTATCTTCCAACAGGGATGGGCTCCTGAGTAGCCAATGCCCCCGCCAGAAGCAATGCAGAATGAGCACTTCCCCACGTTTTGGACAGAGAGTGTCTCTGAGCTGCATACCGAGGAGTGACATTGCATTTCTGGGTCATGGGCAGAAGATTTACACAGTCAACTTGAATCAGTACCATCAGACGGCTCTCCAGAGTGGCTGCACCTTCTCACACTCCCTTGCAGAGAATGAGGGTTCATCTTTCCCCCACACTCCAGCCAACACTTGGCATTACCTGACTTTCTAATTTTTGCTAATCTGATGAGTGTACAGAGTAAAGTTTCATGTTGCATCTTTAAACAAAGAGTGAAAATATAGAGGAAAAGGATAGGAAGGAAGGACGTTAGGAGGGAAGGAAAATGACAGCTGGCTAAGGGGGAAGGATTGGAAAGTCAAGTTTTCTGGACTGCACAGTACCCTACGGAATCCTAGGGGCCATCAGAGCTGCAGGTCACCTTGTGCAAAAGTGCAAAACATAGTTAGACATATGGAATTTGGCCTCCTGGCATCCTGGCCAGAAGGAGTTCATTCCACAGGGCCAAAGCTGGCTGTGCCTGCCTCCCTCTGGGTTCCTGGAAGCCGAGGAAGGGTGGACCAGCCTCCAGCTCCCAGGTCCTTATGCTCATGAGATTTTGCTCCTCGTATTTCTCTCTCAGTACTTTCCCAGTGGCCAGGGAGTCCATCTTTAGGGGGGACCTGTACAGTATTGTTTTAATCTTCAGCTCTCTCTGCTTCCTCTCTGTTCCCTTCTTCTTCTCCTTCTTTATCACACAGAACAGATGTGGAAAAAGCCAAGCCTTTAGGAACATCTGCTGAGACACCCAGGCTGAGGAAACTGTGACCCCTTCTGACTGTTGGGTTTCATCCAAGGACCTCAGTTCTCTGGCCAGAGTATTTGCATCAAAGTCAGCAAGTTATTCTAGCTATTTAAGACAATTTGCTAAATCCCTGAAGACTTGCACACATAGAAGGAAGAGAGAGATGCTATTTTTTAAATGTGGGCTGCAGTTGGAGCTGGCTTGCCCAGAAGTGCAGAATTCCCAGTGCTTCCCAGGGAGCATGCGTTACTCTTGGAAATACCTGGATACATAGGCAAGGTATAGGAAAAAAGTTGAATTCTTCTGACTAAGAAAGAAACTGCAATCTGGAACTTGATCAGCAGCTGCATGCTGACTGCTAGAGGAAGAAGGGTTTGTTTCTGGTTTTGTTTCTTTGTTTTTTGGGGGAGGGGACAAAGTGATTTCTGAAAGAGAGTGAGAGGACCCAGAAGTAAAAAGGTGGCAGAGGGAATTGGAGGAGGAAATGGGACAGTGATAAATTCCGCCTAGCAGGAGTTCCCTGCCCAGCTGAGGACTTCAGTTTAGAATCATTTACTTTGGGGATAACACCTCTTGTTAACTGCAGACCTGCAGGAAACATCTGCTAAACTTGACAGCTGTGTGCTGCTGGTGGTCATTGAAAGACCAGCATTAAGTTGACAGGCAGAAAGAAAAAGACAGTCCCAGAGGGAAGAAAGGAATGAGATGGAGTGCTCAGTGTGAACGGGAAATCAGAGCCAGGGATGACCAGTAAAATATAAGCCCTGGGGGAATCTAGAAACATCTTGGAAAGGGCCCAAGGCGTTTTCATAACATGTGGGCTGGGCGACTCTCGGGAAGGACCCCAGACTGGCGAACTTGGAAATATGCAAACTGAAGGTATCTAGGTTACACATGAGTGGATGGATGCACACACACGCACATGTGCACACACGCACACACATGCCCACATACACATGCACACACACATGCACACACAGGCACACCCCCAGGTCCCCTAGGGTGGTAGTCCTCAACCTTAGCTGCACATTTGAATTGCCTGGGGGCTTTAAAAAATGCCAGAGCCTACCCTCACCCCAATGCCACCAACCCAATGACATCAGAATCTATGAGAATCAGACACACACATCAGGTTTTCAAAGCTCCCAGGGCTGAGCAGCACTGTTCTACAGGCTGACAGCTCCAGCTGCCTAGAGGGCAAAGGCCAGCTACAGTCTCCTGCAACCAAAGACTCACCTGAGCTATCGTGCCCTTCCATCACACCCTGTCCCCAGGCCTTCTCCCTTCCTTTCTCACCACTTCCCCTATCCCCTTCCCAACAGGTATCCTCCCACAGTCACAAGATAAGACACAGGCACCCAGTGGAATTTAAACCTGAGACAAGCCACAAATAATTTTGTTTAATATAAGTATGAGCTGTGTAAATTCGTATCTACCATGCAACATACTCATACTAAAAGTTATTTGTGATTTCTCTAAAATTCAAATTTAACCAGATGTCCTGCGTTTTTAGTTGCTAAATCTGACAACCCTAGATAGGGACAACTTAAGTAAAATATTTTCTTCCTCGACAAGGGACAGAAATCTGGCACCACCGCTAGCACCAGATCCAGAGTCAAAGCCTAGGGCTCCTGGGCTGAGCCCCTGGGAGAATCAGCAAAGCTTTCCGCCTTCCCCAGACCGTGCTGTGGGCACGCAGTACTGCGAGTTATCACCACCAGAGGGCGCACTCTGAGCAGGCAGGAGGAGGCAGCGAAGAAACGACCCCAACCCATGGATGCTTAGGGACAAAGTGAGGGCTCAATCCCCAAAGGAGCACTAGTAGGGTGGAGGGACATTTCTTCCTCTTCTAAACTAAATGATGGTGAAGACACCTGAGATTCAATGAGAGAGAAGGGTGAGCCCAGGGTAGAATGGTAAGACTTAAAACCTGACAGGTGTTTCTTTTATAGTGATTTATTGCTTTGATTGTTAAAAACTGCATAAATGAAATAGTCAAACCATTCAGAATTAAACGTGAAAGTCCTCATTTTAATGTTCCCATCCCACCTGCCTTGCACATGTGTCATGGATCTTCCTTGATCTACTTCTATGCACATAAAGTGTATGTATGTGTATGTGTCTGTATTTGGTTTTTATTGGTTAAATTCTTTACACAAATGCCATCATAATGTGTATGTAGATAGATAATTTCTAGAAAATCCTTTTTTTCATCATTTTCACATTTTGAGGAGGATCACTCTGTGCTATATGTAGTATCAATTTCATTTAATCTTCACAATGACCCTATGAGGTAGGGGCTAGTGTTATCCTCCATTATACAGATGGAGAAACAGTGGCACAGAGGCTACATGAGTTTCACAAGATCACACAGCAAGTAAGTAGTGAAGCTGGGATTTAAACATAGGCCATTTGGCTTTGGAGCACGAATGCTTAATCACTCTTCTGCAATGCTTGGCTTTAACCACTGCATCACAATCTAGCCTAGATATGGACCATAGTATATTTACAACCACTCCGTTTTTGATCCATATGCAGGCTGTGTCCAGGATTCCACTAGTATAAAAAAGGATGCAGAGGGGAGCTTTGTGCAGCAGCCAGAGGGGTTCTGGCAGGGCAGTGGCCCAGCTGTGGAGTATGCTCAGGTTGCATGACAACAAATACCGTTACATTTTATTCCCAAGAGGTTGAAACATTCCCATTCCCAGCAGTTGTGTTAGTGTGCCCATCCCCCCTTGGTGCCATGGAGGGCATGCAGGCAGAAGGAACAGCCTGTGGAGAGGTGCGTGGATATGGCTTCCTCAAACCATATCCATTGGAATGGCAAGAAGCCTAATGAGGCTGAAGGTTGGGTTGTACCTGCTGCTTGTGAATGTAATCTCCTTTATGCTCTGCAAATCTGATGCACAATACCATGATATTTCGTTGTAGTTTTTGCTTGCATTTCCCCAATGACTGTACCAGGAAACAAAATCATCTTTTTGTATGTTTATGAGCCATTTGTGTTTTTTCTTCTGTAAACTTTATGTTCATATTTTTACTCTACTTTCCCAATGGGATGTTTATCTTCTCGATTTGTGGGTGCTGTAATATTATGGGATGTTAGTCTCCTGTCAGTTACATTTGCTGCAAATATTATCTCATGGTGTGTTGCTCTTACAAACACAAGTTTTAATGATAGGAACCAGGATTGTCAAATGCGACAAGAGGCTTTCTCAGTCACCATAGTGGGATGTACAGCAGAGACAACCTCTCTGAAAGCCCGCTTGATGACAGATAGCAAATGTGCTTTAAATCATGTACACTTGCTGCTGCCGGTATTCTAGTTCCATCCTAGGGAAAGATTGGGGATATAGACAGCAAGTTAACTCTCAAGATCTTCATGCCAGCTTTGCTAATGATGCAACAATTTGAGAACCCTTAAATGTCCATTAATAGGGCATTGGAAAAACCACTTACATCTTAATCGTAGGCAAGAATATAATGTTACCATTAGAAAAGATGTGATAAAAGTGTGTTTTTGACTATACTATTAAATGAAAACATTGATAGGATGAAAGATTTTGTCCATTGATAGCATGAAAGATTTTGTCCAGTATTATTCCATTTTGGTAAAAATGTTAACAGTTCAGCTGATAAGATATGCCCCAAAATGTTCATAATGACTTTTCTCTGAGTGGGGCTATTATTGGACAGTTTTTACTGTCTTATTTTTATATATACATATACACACATATACATATATTTGTACCTAATTTTTTCTTTTAACTATTGGTGATAGACAGCTACCAGATGGTCCACAGGCCCTCAATGAACCTCACCTCCTGATATTCATGCTTTTCTGTCGTCTTTTCTCAACTGAATCAGAGCTGGTCAGTGTTACCAGCAGAATACCGCAGAAGTGATGGTGTGTCACATCTAAGGCTAAATCATAAGGGCAATCCTTGCTCTTGGATCACTTGCCTTGGGGAAGCCAGCTACCATGTTGTAAGGCTGCTCAAGTAGCCTCATGGAGAGGCCCACATGGAGAGAAAACAGGCCTTCACCACAGCCAGTACCAACTTGCCAACCATCTGAGCCACCTTGAAAGGATCCTCCAGCCTCAATCCAGCCTTCAGATGACCACTTTCCCAGCTTATATCTAGACTGCACGTCATGGGAGACCTGGAGCCAGAGCACCTGGCTAAGCTGTTCCTGAATTCCTGACTCACAGAGACTGTGAAAGATAATAAATGTTTACGTCGTTTTAAATCACTAAGTTTTTGCTGTTATGTAACAGTAGATAGCTGCTATAAAGTTTGGTACCAGAAGTAGGGTGCCGATGGACTATAAACCTATTAATGTGGGAGTGTCTTTGGAGCTGAGTAGAGGGCAGAAGATGAAAGGACTTTGAAGAAAGTGTCAAAAGAAGCCTAACGGGCATTGGAGACACCAATGCTGGAGGAGGATGTTGGTGAGGGCTTATAGGAAAGTGAGAACCGTGTATTGGAGACTGGAAGAAAGGCAATTCTTGTTATGGAGAGGCAGAAATTAAGCAACGCTGCAGCCAGATGGAAAGCTCACAAATTGAATGATCTAGCTAAGAAGACTTTCAGGCAAACCCAGGTATTGGGCTCTTCCACTAAGGGTATCTTGCTACGAACACAAAAGAATCAGAAAATGCAGACCTGCCCTTAGCCTCTGAGCAACATCTCACTCAGCAGCATGAACTGTGCCAACTGGACTCCTTGGAAGTGACTGATGCAGAAGGTGGAGAGTTGTGCTTGCTGGTTCCCAGGATGGGTCTCAGAAAGTTTGCAGCTGAGGTGGAATCATGTTCATGTTCCTCCCAGAGTACAGAAAATCCCTCAGTACATTTCTGGAGAGAGCGGGGTGAAGAGTGCTCAAGGGAAGAATTGAATCAATGCTCCCAGCACTCCACCCTGCCCATGGGAAGTCAGGTTGCACAGAGGCTAACCTGAAAACTCAGTCACAAAGCTCGTCGGACCAAATAATATCTAGGGTACACTTTGGGGTGCCTGTGCCCCTCAGTGGATGGGTCTGGACAGAGGCTGCACACTGCAAGTTCCGCCTATGTTTTTCTTCCTAAGGACAGAACCACTCACATGTATGATACACATGATACCCACATACATGACACATATGATATACACATGACACACATGATAACCACACATATGACATGTACAACATCCACACACATGGCACATGTATGACGCTCACATGTATAACATATGGCACTTACATGACACACAAAGCACATGCATGACACTCACATGCATGGTGCCCACATGCCACCTCTCCTTGGGGTACCTGACGGCCTGAACTTTAAAGTAATTTACCTTTATTTACCTGTAATGAACATTTGTCCTTCTTTCTGCTTGTTCAGCACTTTGAACCCCTTATTTTCTTTGCGGGAGCTCCTGCTTCCTGAGTCCCTGTCTAGAGGAGCCAGAAACTCTCTTTCTCAGAAAGGAGGATGCAGACATGTGACCAAACTCACCAGATAGATGCACCAGCACCAGGCTCAGATTCAGAATCAGGGGCTCTAGGACGAAGCAAGGTCCCAGGGATTCACCCTAGTGGGGAGGTGGCAGAGCTTCCACGGTACTGGAAGTCCCTTTGTGGTTGCTCTGCTCAGGGCAGGAAGCAGTGTGGTTTCCTGGAGCTGCTCTGCAGTGGGTGGTACATTTGGGTCGTATTCCAGAGCCCAGTTCCAAGGTCATTCAAGAGATGCTGGGGCCCCCCAGTAGCCCGTGATAAATCCCCTTTCTGCTTAAACTCAATACAAGTGGTTTCTGTTGTTTCCAACCAAGGCTGCCTGGGCCTTCAATTGGCACTGCACATTTGCAAGGGAGACATTTGGTCTGATATATAACAGGAATTTTGAGATGAATTCTACCCTACCAGACATAGACGGGAGAACAATCTCAGATATCCCTTTGGGTAAACAGACCCCTAACTAGGGCAATGCATTTTTTAAAGTGCTTTTTAAATCACTTGGAATACCCTGACCTCCCCACGTCCTCCTCTGTCCCACTCAGGTCCACCATCCACATCATGGCCAGTATGATCTTTCTCCACAATGATCTGATGGTGCTATTGCTCATGTGACACCTGTGCTGGGCATCTCTGTCCCCACCTATCTTCCTCCTCTCTGCTGTGCCCACCCAGCCATGCCATATGGACAGTCACTCTTGCTCTCTGGCTTCAAGTGGGGTTTGGCCAATGGAAGCATGGGCAGGCCCTCAGAGGGCAGGAAGAATGGCCTTGGGCATCAGTTACCCCCACTCTTTCCCTGCCAGGTTGCCACGGGTGGGCTTTGTCCCTTTCCTGCAGACTCCTGTGTGCCTTCTCTACACAGCCACCCCCTCTGGGTCTGACAGCCGATCCCTGGCCTCCTCTCTTCAGGTCTTGGGGTGGACACAGCTCCCCAGAGAGGCATATTTGTCGTTCACAGCTGTGTCAGTCCCAGGCATGCTCCATGCCCTGTTAGCTTCTCTAACCCTGCCCACCCTTTTGCAGACAGCACCACACTTCAGTTACCCATCTAAGAGTGCCATCTGTGTCCGGCTGGGGCCCTGGCTGAGATAACAGCCTTGACTCGATGTTTAGATTTCAGACAAGACCCACTTCCTTCAGGACTAAGCTGAGCTTTCAAGGTACTATGAGATCTGGCCCCTGCCCGACTTTCCTGCTCATCGGGCCTTCCTTGACTATGCCAGGCTTTCCCCCTCCCACCCCTTGCCATCCCCCCAAGGCCCTCGTCCAGGAACACCATCACTCTCCTCACCTGCCACCGCAGAGCCACCTGCTGTAAGAAGCTGTGCAGGCCAAATAATGCCCACCTCAAAGATGTCCACGACCCAATCCCTGGAACCCAGGCGTGCTACCTTCTATGACAAAAGGGACTTTGCAGGTGTAGGTAAGGATGTGGAGATGGGGAGATTGTCCTTGATTATCCAGATGGGCTGTAAATGTCATCACAAGTGTCCTCAACAAGGGAGGCTGAGGG